TGATTCTATAGTTCTGTGATCTTTTCTGTTACACAGTTGTAGTTGCAGCTCTTTCATGTAAATGAATAATAGAAACAAAAATTTTTAAGAGTTGTGCCAAAAGTTAGCCAAAGCTCTTTTAGCCAAGACACTACTGAAAAAACTCTTTTGTCAAAGATGTTAGGAATTCCCAATTGATACGTAGCTTTGGTTTTCTGAATCTGAATGTCCCATTTGTTTTTTTTTTCTTTTATTTATTTTATCTTCATTTTTTTCAATTTCCTGTTTTTTTCTGTTTTTGTCCCAGTGATATATCCCGTGGTTTGGAATCACTTCCCATTACTGCTGTCAATGCCATCAATGATGACCCTGTGCCAACAGACTTTCACTATGTTGCCCAGAGCTGTGAAACAAAGCCTCTCAGCATCAACCACAGTATCAAGAATCCACCGGTAGGTGCAATGCGTGCTGGAAAATAGTTTACACCTTTATATTTACCCTTTATATCCCACAGTTGTAATATCCCTAGTTATGTCTCATACCCTGAGAGCCTGCACCCTAAGATATGTATAGGGAGTCAGGTTGGCAAGGTAGTTCTTTCCTCGCCTTCCACCTCTGTGGTCCTGGGTTCAATTCCGGGCCCGGTCCACATGTGGATTAGGTTTTCAGTCCCTACCTGACTCCGTGGGTTTTACCTAGAATATTCCTCTGGGATTTTCCTCCCACCTCTAAAACTGTAACTGCTTCTTACTGTCTCCCCTTTACTGATGTTGGTGAATGTGGATCGTTTGGCGGCTGCCCGAGGCGCCCTTGTATGCCATCGGCTCAACCATGTTTAAATGTATCCATTGTTCCACGCTTAATGTCTTCATTGTACAGCGCATTTGAACATACCTATATGAAATTTGCGCTTTATAAATGAATAAATTATTATTATTATTGTTATTATTCCAAGTTATGTAACGCACCTTCAGATCCCAGAGATCTCACATGCTTGCTGCAACAGATGCAAAAATTTCTGTTTCTTGTTGATGCCTACAAAAATGTAATGCATTCTGGTCATTAAAAAAAATGAGAGAAGTCAACTTTTCCATGGTACCAAGATGATATCTTCCCCTAATCCCATTTTTTATTGTATCGCCCAGATCCTCTGTCCTTGCATCTGCCCATATCACCTGTATGTTAGTAAGCCGTCTGGTAAACAGGCGTAATACGTTTATGCAGACATTCATCAATCAGTTGTATATTTCTTTTCCTCAGATGTGTACTTGTACCAATGAAGATTGCTACACAGACAGCTGTGAGTGTGCCAACAACAGTGTTCAATGCTGGTATGACTCGGTGAGTAGTTCCTTCAACTATTTGATGTGTGACC